CAGAGGAGTATAGAGTGCAGTGATGTGTCCTATAAAGGAGCATTGTTGGCAAATCTGATGGCCGAATGGTAAAGAACATCTAGCCGCTCGAGACCACCCTTACCTGCCGATCTATAAATTAGTCTCCGTAATCTAGCATGGGTAGGATGGTCACCTGAATCAGGGTTAGTTTAGCAGCTGGGGTGAAAGAGGAGCGATTACGAGAGGAAACCAAGTCTAGATTTAACCCTAGCCTGCAACTTTGATATGTGCTGAGAGAAGGAAAGTGTACCGTCTAGCCGTACTCCCAAGTACTTGTATGAGGTGACTACCTCAAGCTCTAAACCCTCAGAGGTAGTAATCACACCGGTGGGGAGAGGGGCATTCTTACCAAACCACATGACCTTTGTTTTGGAGGTGTTCAGAACAATGTTAAGGGCAGAGAAAGCTTGTTGGACACTAAGAAAGCTTTGTTGTAGAGCATTTAACACAAAATCCAGGGAGGGGCTAGCTGAGCATAAGATTATCATCTGCATATACAGTGAGGGAAAAAAGTATTTGATCCCCTGCTGATTTTGTACGTTTGACACTGACAAAGAAATGATCAGTCTAATTTTAATGGTAGGTTTATTTGAACAGTGAGAGACAGAATAACAACAAAAAATCCAGAAAAGTGCATGTCAAAAATGTTATAAATTGATTTGCATTTTAAATGAGGGAAATAAGTATTTGACCCCCTCTCAATCAGAAAGATTTCTGGCTCCCAGGTGTCTTTTATACAGGTAACGAGCTGAGATTAGGAGCACATTCTTAAAGGGAGTGCTCCTAATCTCAGCTTGTTACCTGTATAAAAGACCTGTCCACAGAAGCAATCAATCAGATTCCATACTCTCCACCATGGCCAAGACCAAAGAGCTCTCCAAGGATGTCAGGGACAACAACAAATACTTTTTTCCCCTCACTGTAAATGGATGAGAGAGCTTCCTACTGCCTGAGCTATGTTGTTGATGTAAATTGAGAAGAGCGTGGGGCCTAGGCTCGAGCCTTGGGGTACTCCCTTGGTGACAGGCAGTGGCTGAGACAGCAGATGTTCTGACTTTATACACTGCACTCTTTGAGAGAGGTAGTTAGCAAACCAGGCCAAAGACCCCTCAGAGACACCAATACTCCTTAGCCGGCCCACAAGAATGGAATGGTCTACCATATCAATAGCTTTCGCCAAGTCAATAAATAAATAAAAATCGCAGCACAACATTGCTTAGAATCAAGGGCAATGGTGACATCATTTAGGACCTTTAAGGTTGCAGTGACACATCCATAAGCAGAGCAGAAACCAGATTGCATATCAGAGAGAACACTATAGACATCAAGAAAGCCAGTCAGTTGATTATTGACAAGTTTTTCCAACACTTTTGATAAACAGGGCAAAATAGAAATTGGCCTATAACAGTTAGGATCAGCTTGATCTCCCCCTTTAAATAAAGGACGCACCGTGGCTGCATATGAGGCATGTCTTACCTTGCTTCGAAGTAGCCTAGCCAAAATCTAACCAAATGTGCAGGCAATTACTGTATAAAGACTTCCATATGCCATTGAAACAAGTAGCCATTTTCTCTGATATTATATTGGTTTTCAAAGGAACAATCCTAGTCATATTAGCAACCCATGCTAGTTGTTGCATATTTAGATATCCCCGCTTTCTACATTTCTAATAGATATTGTCATCTCGGTGACAATGAAAATCACTCACAATGGTATTTTCACGCTAATTGAATTATGGAACGAAGATTTGCACATAGTCTACTGCCTTGTGCACACTGCTACACTTATGTGAACATTTTAAGCTAAACGTTCTGATGTGTTGTATGAGCCTCATTGCTTTTTAGATGTAGCCTAGGCCAGGGTTTCCCCAAACTCGGTCCCGGGCCTTCAAGACAGTTGGAAAAGCATTCCTCCTGAAGCTGGTTGAGAGAATGCCAAGAGTGTGCAAAGCTGTCAAGGCAAAGGGTGGCTACTTTGAAGAATCTCAAATATATTTTGATTTGTTTTACTACATGATTCCATATGTGTTATTTCATAGTTTGGATGTCTTCACTATTATTGTACAATGTAGAAAATAGTAAAAATAAAGAAAAACCCTTGAATGAGTAAGTGTCCAAACTTTTGACTGGTACACACACAGGCCATTACCGGCAAACGGAAACACTGGCGCACATCTATTTCGTTACGTTGTCAGCTAACCCATCTATAAAAGAAAATCATCACAACAACAAAAAAGTTTATTTGTGAGCTAGAAAATGAACATCCTGAGAGTCTGCTCTGCAATCATCCTACTATTGGACAGGGACAATGTGGCATTTTGTATTTGTCAGTATGAATGAAATTAGTGGGACCTGCCTTGATGACTATTAGCTTTACACTGCTGACTTGTCCTATAGATTTTTGTAGTCTTAAATAATTACTTGGAATAAACAGAAACGCTCCTTGTCCCAAAATGACACGCTAGCAAGTGATAGCTATCTGCTCCTGCTAGCTAGCAACAGATCTACTTGTAACTAGCAAGCTAGCTACATTACTAAGGTTGCTGTGTTCTAAGTTGGGAGTCATTTTACAGCTTGCAATAATGGTATCACGTTTCTATAACTAAATAGTTAGATTACAAATAAATACATTTTTTAAGACTTTACCTGTTAGCAGTTTGTCGGATGGCGATCTCTCCACTACCTTTGATACGGATAACGTGATTGGCAGACGTGATCGTCAGAGACAGTACACAAGTTCTGAGTGGTTTACATAAGGGATAATCAACTCGGGGCTCTATGCGTTGTCTGGAAAATAATGAACGACGTGGAAGGTGTTATCCACGATCCGCTAGCAGAGTGGAACTAACCTTCCACAGAGTTGCATTACTTTCCAGAGAACGCATAGACCCCCGAGTTGATTTTCCTTTTTATGCCATGGCTATAATTTAACACATTTACCACTAGAAATGTGTTCATTTGCAGATAGAAATGTGTTCAACATCCACTGAAGTAGCTAGCAAGTTTACTAGATAACTACAGTAGTTGCTTTTGTAACCAAACAGACTAGCTAGTTTAGCTAATCATCAGTCCTAGCTTGCCATTATGAAAATCGAATTGAACAATGCCAATAATCTTTTCAATTCAAAAGCAGCTCAATAGAACATTAAGAATGAACAATAGACATTGAATTCTACCCTTCTGATATACTGTGCGTTATTTAAGCAATAAGGCCCGAGGGGGTGTGGTATATGGCCAATATACCACAGCTAAGGGCTGTTCTTATATATGACGCAACGCAGAGTGCCTGGATACAGCCCTTAGCAATATACCACAAACCCCGGAGGTGCCTTACTGTTATTATAAACTGGTTTCGAACGTAATTAGAGCAGTAAAAATAACTTGTGTCATACCCATGGTATATGGACGACTTCCAGCCATTCAGGGCTCGTTTACTGACACCGGCCATATTCAACCCGTGTTGATCATTCCTAAATTCATCAGTTATTCTGCGCTCTGGCACACTCAGACGAGAGTGCTCTGAAATCGGAATAGATAGCCAGAGCGAATTTACGTAAATGTATGTAAAGTTTAGTACTTGGCAGCGTTTGCCGGTCCAGCTAGCGAACATAAAAGTACGTATTTAGAAAACATTTGCAAGAATTGACATTGCCAAAACGGAAATGTGCTCATTAGAAATAAATATACACAATTTGTAAAAACCAGTTCCTCCCTCGACAGATCGATAATCTCTAAAAACTAAAGCAGAGATGCTTGCTATGGCCCACCACCTATTACCAGACTTGTCTGAATCACCCTGTATCCTCAATTCAAACTGGTCATGGTCACAGAGACCAAAATGACCTAATTCAATTTTGGCACTGAAAATACATAGTGCAAGAAGTTAACGTTAATATGCTATTTGGAGTTGAAAAGTGCATCAAATTAAAGTGGATAATAATTACGTTTCGTTGTGAGCTACTGCTACGTCGTTCTATAGTAGCAACCAATTATTTACAATGTTTCGCTATCTGCACTAGCTAGCTAACGTAGCTAACCTTCCTTACTTGCTAGTGAACCAGGGTATCTGGGCCCGGTTACCCACAAGCATCTTAAGGCTAAGTTCTTAGCTTTAAGATGCTTTTGGGTAACCGGGCCCAGATATGTTGCTGGTTACCTAACAGGCTACTGTAACTAGCTAGCCGTACGTCGTTTTACGTCTGTCGACATCTGGAATTAGTAAACTAGCAGTTTTATAGTCGGTCTTAAAATATGACTTTTTACTGCATTATATTACTACTTACATTTGCTGAGAAAACAACTTATGCGAACCCACACAGACAATCAACCATTCACACACGAGACCCGGAGAAGGCTATCTAGCTCGGCTAACATTAATTTAGCTACCTTATCAGAGTCGAGGTCGGGGTCAGCCTGGCTCAGTCGGTACAGAAATGATTTCGGATCTCGGCACAGCGTCTGTCGTGTTGTTAAGAAATAGGTTCCCCCCACGTTCAAGCGAACCCATTTGGAAGCCCCGTTACTGGTTGACTGGGGTTTTTCCCAGGGAGAATGAGTCAAACACCTCCGATAAACGGAACCACAAGTATCGGCGCTGTTTTCTGCCATCCCCTCTTCTCCGCCCTCTGGTATGACTGAAGCAGTTGACAGGAAGCATCTCCTCTCCATTTAAGTAGGCTGTCCCCACTCCATGCACAGGCGATACCACTCCTTTCCCTCCACCTACTAGCTGCCTACCACTCCACTTTATCAACAATAACAGAATATGCATTGGGCCAAAAGCAGAATAATTTCAAACATTATATAAAATATGACAAAACGCATAAAATCGCTACAATTTATATTGTTAAACTTTTTTTTACACAACATTAAAATCAGGTGGATACAGTATACCTACTTATAAGATTGAACAGCTAGTCATGTTTGAATGGAAATGTACTCTTTCTTACAAGCCTTTATATTGTATCAATTTAACACTATGCAGAAAACTGATGGAAAGATACATTTGTAATGTTTCAGCAGTCAAGTATTATGTCAGGTTGTAACAGAAGACAGGAGGCATGGTTTTATTGTATGCCTAAATCCCTACATGCTTTAATTACTGGACTACCAAGCATTACGTGGAAAATTCATCATTCAACAACTGACCTAGCGCACAAACAATCAGAGAGAGAATGAACAGAATCATTAAATTATCAGAAATATGATTAAATCACTGAGCAAATAGAAAATGTATATGATATAGTAAGAAAAAAGCTGTAAAATATTATAGTTTACAATAATTATTCACATTCAAAGGCTTTACATCTCAATACATACACAACATGGCCCCTGAACATGACTTCAATCCAAATATGATTCATATATTAGAATTTAAATAACACAGAATGAACTAGAGGCTAAACAATAGCCATCAAATAACCTTATACAAGAATAAAAATACAAAAACTGTATCCTAATATCATTGCATTACTTGCTTCAGATTTCAATAATACATCATCTGTACATCACAGTTCTAGTCGGTTACAAACCAGGTAGAGTATTACATACAATGTAACCGACTGCCGCCCAACTTGATTTAAAAAATGTTCTAGCAAGAGATAAGCAAACACTTTCTATAGTGTTTCCTTACTTTAGAGACAGATACAGCAATTTCATCTTAATTGGATCAGATACCCTTTAGTTGACGTCCAAGCAAGTTAAGCCCAAGCCAGAGGCTATTATTCACCTGCTCCAGTCACACACAGACTAAGAGCTGGAGGAATATCTTGAGAGGACCTTTAGGTAATGTCAGAATTAAAAGTATTACTATTATATATCTCTAAAAAAAAAAGAGCAAAAGTAAAATCAATCTACACATATTGGGCCAGGTGTCAAGTTGTAGAAAAACCATACGGACATTCCTAATGAACCTTGATAACCCAACGAGGCAAAGCAGACAACTTTCCCTGGGACTACAGCTGTATTGTGATTGCTTCCAATAAATGATAGTATAGTATTGTATTACGGATGTAACTCTTGAAGCTTTCCTTATCGCCAAAGCGGTTCAACATGGGGTGGTCAGCATTCTGTTTTGTTTTAAAACAGGACATACTTAAGATGAACCGTCAATCCCACCAAAAGAAAACTAAAATTATTCAAACCACAAAGAAATAGCCAGTGAATGGTAAAGAACAGCCAAATATTTCAATATTATTATCCATGGTTGCCAATGCAGTCAAAATACCCACCTTAACTTTAATAAAACTATATCTCCAGTGCCCTGGGAGAGAAGCAGACAAGGCTAAGCTAAAAAACTGGCCGTGCAGGAAAGCTAAGCGAGTCTTATGATAAGAGTACAAGCTAGTGGCATGTTCACCCACCCCCTATTTGCAATGTACTATTAGGGACTGTCCTCACAGTCTGTCTATGGAGAACCCACGCTGAAGCAATTGAGTGCTATTCATATCTATGCCTCACTTTGGGGACCAGCGCTCTGCCCTGAAACATGAACATACAGACCCAAACCGGACTGCAGTCAGTAAGTACCAAGAGTATTGAGAACAAATTCATATATACTATGTGGACAATGGGGGTCTGACAAAAATATACTTTATTGGGTAAGCGCCTGTTTGCAGTGTGATACTGAACCAGGCAATAGTCTGGAGTATGTGTGTGTCGAGTTCAGGTAAAATTACAGAGGCATACAATGTTGGATTAGGATCTGGATTGAGTATCATACTGTATTGGGATAAGCTCTGGTGTACGAGCGATGCTGGATTGTGTTTTGTTATGGTTGAAGAAGGAAACCAGTCCTTGCACTGAGATGGCCCTAATGGTACCTACACCAGTGAAATTCTACAAACAAGCCTGTCCTCTCGTTCCCCTGCAGAATGTATAAGATGCCGATGTGCATGGAAGTCATCATCCACACATGAAAAAAATAAACGCATTTAAAAGCCTCACAGAGCACAAAGAACAAGCAAAGCAACCCTGAATCCCATGGTGTCTTTTTTCCTATTGGTTCTGCTAATTTCAGAAAAGGAAAATAAACAAGGTCTAGATGCCAGCGTCTCTAAAAGAGTTTGTTTACATTGCGGTGATGAAGGGCACTAAAGAGGATGTTTCTCTGTGATTGGCCTCAGAGCTTGGAGGAAGGAGTGGCCGCAGGAGGAACTGCTCTCCTATAGGCCAGGATTTTGTTGCTTGTGATAGATCTTTCTCCACACTTCCTGGATCTTCTTACACCACTTGTCAGCGTTGCCACTGGGGTCCATCAGATAGTATGTTCGATTGGGCTGTAAACGAATCACAACAAAGATGAAATAAAAACATCCAAAGCTGAGACAAAGTCAATATTGTTAGACAAGAAACCAGAGGTTATGTAATAATGTCAGTTTGAAATATGATTCAGCCATTTCAGTGTCATCAATAAGTGTTAATTGCAGTTCACAATTACCGTGTGGACAAAGAAGGTCTTGAAGTTCTTGGCCTCTGGGCGCAGCTCAGGGGACCAGGGGATCTCCCCTTTCAGGACCTTGTTGACAGGGTCCACGTAGTACAGATGTGGCCCTTCAGTAAGGAGCAGCTGCCTCCGCCGAGCAAACAGGCCCTGCAATGGAGTCATGAGACATGGCATGAGTTGACCACCAGAGGGAGCTAGTGCCAAGTGTGACATTCCACACCAGAGGTGGAATTCCCCCTTGCTGCTGACCTAGGATCAGCTTTCTTCAGCTCTAACAAGTGAAACTACATACAAACATTGCTCCTCATTGTCAACAACTAAACATTTGGTAAGTCAAAAGTGACACCACTTTTATGAACTTATTTACTTTGAGTTTAAAAACTTATGAGATGTGGTGTAAAGATTCAATACCACTGGTTTGGCTTCCACTCACCTTCCTTTTATCCACTGGGCCCATTTTCAAGATCAAATTATTCTCAACAAACTGGTGCCTGTGTAAGTCAGTAATAGTAAGGGTTACGAGCAAGTACTTCCAAGCAAATAAAAGCAAAGCAATGTAAACAAAGTCTTTACAAAACTCTCAAACTATCAATTCAACATCACATTTTCATGGTCAACGCTTATTAAACAAATTTGAATAGGCGAGAATGCTTCAGAGTGGGGCTTACCAGGGGTTCCCACTGGTCTGTTTTTCCAGCAACAGCTGCTTCTCCTCCTCGGAGAACAGCAGGTCCAGCTCAAACGAGTTGTTGTCCAGGTCGTGGATGTACTGCTCGATGTTGCTGCTGGACCTCTGTGGCGCTGGGGGAATGGTCTCAGGCGTGGAGAGCGAGTGGGACGAACTGGACAGGGCCACCTGCATGCTGCTGAACTGGCTCAGGAGGTCATCGTACTGGGGGAAGACAGGAGATGGGGGCAGAAGGTAGTAAAGTTGGCTTAAAGCATGGGCTTTTGCATGGCACAAAGACATGGATCCCTTAATGAACAGGATTCTTGAAAAATCATCACAAGCCACAATGACGTGGTGACCCGTTTCATGTTGCCATGTTCAATGTATGTGTGGAAGTGTCTCACGTTTCCATAGCAGTCCTCGTCATCCTCGGACATGGCTGGCAGGTATGGAGTGAGCTTGGGTGGCGTCTGCACATGCAGGTCTCCCCAGGAGATGGTCTCGAAGAACGGGTGTCCCCTCAGGGGGTCGTACCCTCCCATATCCTCGCAACCAATTCTCTTGGAAGGGTCCAGCGACTGTAAGAGAAACAGAATCACGTTCACTGACCCAAAGCCTTCAACTCTTACTACAATTAACTAAACCAGTGTGTGGATGATGGAGGGACACACCACAACATGCATCCTCGTCTGCAGTGCTGATAACCGCAGGGCTCTCCAGAGGGTGGTGTGGTCTGCCCAACGCATTACCGGGGGCAAACTACCCGCCCTACAGGACACCTACAGCACCCGATGTCACAGGAAGGCCAAAAATATCATCAAGGGCATCAACCACCCAAGCCACCCCGTTATCATCCAGAAGGCGAGGTCAGTACAGGTCCATCAAAGCTGGGACCGAGAGACTGAAAAACAGCTTATATCTCAAGGCCATCAGACTAGTAAATAGCCATCACTAGCACATTAGAGGCTGCTGCTGCCTATAGAAATCACTGGCCACTTTAAGAAATGGAACACTAGTCACTTTAATAATGTTTACATATCTTGCATTACTCATCTCATATGTATATTCTGTGTTCTATAATATTCTACTGTATCTTAGTCCATGCCGCTCTGTCATTGCTCATCCATATATTCTTAATTCCATTCCTTACATAGATTTGTGTGTATTGGGTATATGTTGTGAAATTGTTAGATATTACTTGTTAGATATTACTGCACTTTCGGAGCTAGAAGCACAAGCATTTCGCTACACCCGCAATAACATCTGCTAAACACGTGTATGTGACAAATAAATGCACCAATTTGTAAGTCGCTCTGGATAAGAGCGTCTGCTAAATGATGTAAATGTCAAATGCAAATACAATTTGATATTACAGAATTACATTGAGTATATTGATGAAAACATGACCTACCAAAAGCTGTTCAACAAGATCCTTGGCTTTGGGAAAGAACTTCTCAGGGAATTCATACTCCAGCTTGATTATCTTCTGGAATATTAGGTACTCGTTTCTGGTCCGAAGTAAGCACAGATACGTCATGAGGGGTGAAGGAAGCCAGAGAAAGGACAGTGAGTGAAGTGGAGGTAAGAGCAACCCCATAAAACGTCCTAATATCCAAATAAGCTGTAAGCCTATCACAGAAGCTAAAACAAAAAAAGGTGAAAGAGGCCAAGAGCAGACGTCGTGCTCTCCTTACCCAGCTCTGAAGGGTGGTAGCCCAGCCACCAGCTGATAGACTATGCATCCCAAGGCCCAGAGGTCGGAGCTGAAACACACAACCAGTTGACATCAATATAATATCCTATCGGAGAAGGACAGACATATTCACTAACTGCATAGAAAAATCATGCATTGGCACAACACTCCAAGGTACTCAAATTGTAGAGTCCCAATTACCTCTTGCAGGCCGATTTCTCTGTCAGCAGCTCTGGAGACACGTACTGCGCAGTTCCTACAAAGGAGTTTGCTCTCGCTGCAAAACAATAAGGGGGTATGAACCAGACAACACACTCGACGTGAGACTGATCAAAACTGTAAAGTGAGAACAAATGTGTGTATTAAAGTAAGAACATTATAGAATTGGGGAATGTTCAGGGAGAAATAAATCGCAATGAATGCTTTATGTTGATAAAAGTCTATACATGTACCTTGTTTGCTATCTGAAGATAACTGCTTTGCTGTTCCAAAGTCTGTTATTTGGATGTGCATGTCTTCGCTCAGTAAAATATTCTCAGGTTTAAGGTCTCTGAAAGACAAAAGAAACATGTGAGGGAACCTAGTCAACCTACATTTTCAAAAACAGAATTTAGCATAGCAAGAAGGACTAATTTGCGTAAACATAGTGGAAGCAAGTTTGTAAGTCAACTTATTTATACAAATGTTGTACATTTCTTATTAAAATTGATGATCAGGATATAAATTCAACTACGATAACCTGTAACATACCATTACAGACATACCAGTTCTGACATTTCTTACCTGTGAATTATCCCCTTCTCATGCAAATATTCTAGTGCACAAACAATTTCAGCCGAGTAGAATCTAGTGCAGGTCTCATCAAAAGAACCGATTTTGCGAATATATTTCAAAAGCTCTCCATTCTTAGCATAGCTAAGGCCAAAATCTAATAGCAAGTTAAGAAAAACGACATATCAAAGGAACAAACAAACACAAGAAAACATGTTTACCATACAACTAAGACAAGATAAGTTGCTAAACAAGTTGGTGATACAGTCAGGCTCCAAGTCATCATGGTCTGTTTTTAAAGGATACACAACTTCTCATCATCTTGAAATGTAAAGTACAGTTTGACGAAGAATGGATGATCTAGGTTCGACATTACATCCCTTTCTCTTTTCACATACTGAGCCTTGTTCTCCTTCATAATATGCCGCTTCTCCAAAATTTTTACTGGAAGAGAGAAAAATTACAAGTAGAGTTAAGGGTAAAAGATCAAATGTGATAAACAGCAACTTTGCACTTATGACAATCCGTAAACAACATTTTTTTTAAACATTGAAGAGCAACAAGTATGATCCATGGAAGCCAAGTTCTAACCTAATGCCTAAATTAGAACTTACTTGCATATTCTTTTGCCGTTGCGTGTTCTCTTGCAAGGACAACCTATAGAAAAAAAGACAGTGCATTCGGTAAGTATTCAGACCCTTGACTTTTTCTACATTTTGTTACAGCCTTATTCTAAAATTGATTAATTACTCCCCCCCCCCCTCCCCCACCACCAATCTACACACAACACCCCATAATGACAGAGCAAAAACAGGTTTAGAAATCTTTGCACATTAAATTAAAAAAAAAAAAATTTTAAATGTCACATTTACATAAGTATTCAGACCTTTTACTCAGTACTTTGTTAAAGCACCTTTGGCAGCGATTACAGCCTCAAGTCTTCTTAGGTATGACGCTACAAGCTTGGCACAGCTGTATTTGGGGAGTTTCTCCCATTCTTCTCTGCAGATCTTCTCAAGCTCTGTCAGGTTGGATGGGGAGCGTCGCTGCACAGCTATTTTCAGGTCTCTCCAGAGATGTTCGATCAGTTTCAAGTCCGGGCTCTGGCTGGGCCACTCAAGGACATTCAGAGACTTGTCCCCAAGCCACTCCTGCGTTGTCTTGGCTGTGTGCTTAGGGTCGTTGTTCTGTTGGAAGGTGAACCTTCGCCCCAGTCTGAGGTCCCGAGAGCTCTGGAGCAGGTTTTCATCAAGGATCTCTCTGTACTTTGCTCCGTTCATCTTTCCCTCGATCCTGTCTAGTCTCCCAGTCCTTGCCGCTGAAAAACATCCCCACAGCATGATGCTGCCACCACCATGCTTCACCGTAGGGATGGTGCCAGGTTTCCTCCAGACGTGACACTTGGCATTCAGGCCAAAGAGCTCAATTTTGGTTTCATCAGGCCAGAGAATCTTGTTTCTCATGGTCTGAGAGTCCTTTAGGTCCCTTTTGGCAAACTCCAAGTGGGCTGTCATGTGCCTTTTACTGAGGAGTGGCTTCCGTCTGGCCACTCTACCATAAAGGCCTGATTGGTGGATTGCTGCAGAGATGGTTGTCCTTCTGGAAGGTTCTCTCATCTCCACAGAGGAACTCTGTCAGAGTGACCATCGGGTTCTTGGTCACCTTCCTGACCAAGGCCCTTCTCCCCCGATTGCTCAGTTTGGCCGGGTGGCCAGCTCTAAGAAGAGTCTTGGTGGTTCCAAACTTCTTCCATTTAAGAATGATGAAGACCACTGTGTTCTTGGAGACCTTCAATGCTGCAGAAATGTTTTGGTACCCTTCCCCAGATCTGTGCCACGACACAATTCTGTCTCTGAGCTCTATGGACAATTCCTTCAATCTCATGGCTTGGTTTTTGCTCTGACATGCACTGTCAACTATGGGACCTTACATAGACAGGTGTGTGCCTTTCCAATACATGTCCAATCAATTGAATTTACCGCAGGTGGATTCCAATCAAGTTGTAGAAACATCTCAATGGAAACAGGATGCACCTGAGCTCAATTTCGAGTCTCATAGCAAAGGGTCTGAATACTTATGTAAATAAGGTATTTCTGTTTAGTATTTTTAATACATTTGCAAAAAAGTCAAAAAACCTGTTTTCGCTTGTCATTATCGTGTGTGTAGATTGATGAGGGAAAAAAATAGTTTAATCAATTTCAGAATAAGGCTGTAATGTAACAAAATGTGGAAAAAGTCAAGGGATCTGAATACTTTCCGAATGCACTGTACATAGTTTGAAGAAAATATATTTCTAAAACTCACGCAGTAGACCACTTCATCCCCATAGTAAATTAGGTGCCAGGTTAACTTAAAATCCATTGAAACTACTCAGTCATTCCTGATCAACTAGCATGAATTGAAGATGAGTCACTGGAATATATGACCACAAGAATGCTTACATGCCACAACACTTATCTAGGGCTAATTCGTAAGTGAAATGGAATGCTGGCTACTTACGGTTGAGAAGGAGCCCTCTCCCAGTATCTTGCCGAATTTGAAGTCCTCTGGCCTCTTCTTGCGGGGCTGAGGGGCCTGCTGTGCCCGGAGCTCGGCACCCAGGCTGGCAGGTTTGCCCGTGGCCCGGGACTCGGAGGTGGGGCCCTCCATGCTGGGATAGTGGCTGCTACTTGCGCCTGGGATGGCAAGTGGCGAGCAGGAGTCGGGCTGATTTCTTACCATTGATGGATGTGGGCAGGAACAGATGACCACGCTGGATTGAATGGGCACAACATCATACTGTATGTGAGAGAGGGGGGGGGGGGGGCATTAGGTGATGTTACTACTACAAAATGAGAGAGGGGTGAACAGGTGGAGGAACGTACTGGGCATAATTATTTGTCTAGACTTGGGCCAAAGTTTTTTGCTCAATCATCCTCAGTTATTTCTAATGTCTTGTCTTCAGTTAACAGTAGGTTGTCATTCTGGCATTACTCTGTCCCTAAACTCTGGGTACTTTGTGACAAAACATTGAGTAAACACCTAGGCTATGCCATGTTCAGTCACAGACAGTCCTTTAAGAATTTAGGTGTGAACAAAAAGCTCAAGTGCTGCTCTCTGGAGGGACTGAGGGCCCCATGAGGAGGAAGGCTAACTCAAGCTACACGTGTAGGAAATGCGGAAGTCATTTCGGTTGAATGCATTCAGTTGTGCCACTGACTAGGTATCCCCCCCCCTTCTCTCTCATATAGAGTCTAAACTATTTTAAATCAGAAATGCCAGGGGATACAATTCCCTTAGCACCTTTGAGTCATCCTTCATATTGTTTCTCAAATGTGTATGTCTGGTAGGTGTTTGAAAACAAACAAATCACTGCCTCTCTCTTGAAGATAGCTGGCAGGGCTCCCAGCCCAAGTAACAGCACAGGTAGAGAGCAGCCCATGTTTTGAGAATTGAGATGGGAAGTTGAGGGGAAAGAATAGCTTTGTGGGGCTTGGGCATATCTTTAACCTAACTAAATATGATGTTGTTCTATGTACAACCTAGGGCATGTTCCACTCCAGACAATATATGCTTAGTTGAGGATGAGGCAAAACGTCAACGTATTCATTTAACAATGTGGGCATTCAGCCTTGAATCATCTAGCTATTTAAGTCATCATGATCAGTAAGTGACCTCATACCTTGTGTTCACTATGGAGCAATTTAATAACTTGGGGTGGAGATTAATCTTGTGGACAAGACAACGTGAAGTAGATGGAAAAACTCCTGACCCAACCCTTTCCCTGGATGAAAAATCCCATTTACGTCCTCCAATCAGACACCCAATACTTAAGTTAAATTACAGACAATATTAACACAGTTGATTGACTGGTAAACAAAAATACATTATGTGGTGCATTTTCGTTAGCAAGTAACTAGATGGCATCATGTCGTTAACGAATGTTAACAAGGAAATATGCATTGGCTAACAGCTTGTGAATGTGAGCAAGGACGCCAACGCAAAAAAAGGTGGTTTCGTTTAGTGAGCAGCAAGCGTCATGAATTATTAGCAAGCCAGTCCCGCTTAAAAGGACATTAAACATACAAGCACGATTTAAACACCTACCACCGGCCAAAGGAAAAGCTTTAGATTCTGAATCCACTGCCAAAATATTAAACTGAGTTAGTTAGCTAACGTTAGCAGGCTACCATCCTAGGCCTGGGAAATGAGAAGCTAGGTAGCTACCTAGCGAACGTTTGTTTTGTAGCTAGCCAGTTTAGGAAACTGGATTGTTTGTCAAACACGGTCAGGTGAAATCTCGAGCTAGCCAACGGTAGTCAACGGCGATCCACAATTGTGGCACAAGGTGTGGCCAGATTGGTCCTAATCCATGAGTAATTGTTATCGGTAAACTAGCTAACGTTAGTTTGCTTACGTTACATCATGTTGATTAGGACATGTAGCTAGCTAGGGATGCAACTTCACGGGAAAGTCTCAGCAGTCTGCTACCAACTAACGTTATCTTGTTAGCATCCTCAGCTAATTCTAGAGCTGACGCTTCAGGTATTCAACAACAAGTTAACTTGCTACAGTAGCTAATGATGACTGCAAGTTGATGATTGCAAGTTGACACAGCTAACGTTAGCTAATTTACCCATAAATCCTCATAGTAATAATTTAGTACCAGAGCTATGTACAGTACTAACAGTAGCTACCTAGATATTAATTTACTAGCCAAATACATAGCTAGTGAGCTAGTTTGTAATGTACATAACGTTAATGAATACATTAATTTGTTCGCAATCCCTTTCACTGACGATTACAGTTAGCCAGTTAACGTAACGTCCTTAGCTAGCTAGAAACTTTTAACTACAAAAGGCGTAACCGCCAAGTTGGCTTGCTGGCTAGTTAGTTAACGTTACATTAGCTAGTTAATTAATTACCAGGAATTTCAACTCACGTTAGCGAGCTAGCATGCTAGTTGGTTGCTAGATAGCTTCATCGACTGACTGCGCGTAGCTAATGCGTTAGTCAGTCAGAGAGGACCTCTTACCGCTGTTTGAAATGAGGGCCTAACACTAACACATCGAAAATGTTGTCAAACTGCCGCCATACAATACATATTGGGCAACGGCTTCGAATCGACATTTGGATGAACGTTGCAATACTCACAATCTGACTTGTGGCTCTTGCCATGGAAGTTTACCTCGAGTATTTATTTGGAATAAAATGATTACAGAACCTCCAGCAATGGCTGCCTCTGCGCCTTCATTTTCCAGCTGTGACGTCGTTCCACAACAATGTTACCAAAGACAGTACAGTATGAAGATATGCAGAAACTGCTTCTCTAATAGAAATCCCCGATCACACTTGTAGACGATGTCATTGCGACGTTGGCTAGCATAGCTCATGCGCAGAAAAACGTCATCGGGTCTAAAGGTCGTGTCGCGCCGAACTGCGCCTCTGCAGGCCGTCGATATAAAGTGTATTTATTGTCAAAAATTCAAACGTGACAGTTTGTGACTCTCACGACGTTGTAGTGATGACAGGTTCAGCTGCTTAAGATATTTTCTCGAATCTAGGTTTTGCCTTTAGAATTCGATAACATTAACAACGAAGGACGAAGTTTCACTTCTCCCATTGCAAGGCAATGGGTCCCCCGGGCTGGTTTGTCGAGTCTGCTTCACGACGCGTTCCTGGAAATATATCGATTTTGCGCCTGGGTTTGAAAACTCTGTGATGTTACCAAATATGTTTATAACTAACCTCGCAAAGACAGGAGAGGATCTACTTCCTGTATCTGCCCCCTTCGCGTTTCAAAGGAACTTTATAAAAATGAAGACCGTGACGGTCGTTTTAGGAAAGGTCATAAATGTCATCCAACCCCTATTTCAAACGCCTTTGCATAACTATTATTTTGATTGTGTCTTAATTGTTGTTCCATGTTGGCAGGCAACACAGACATACACTGAGTATACCAAACATATGGAACACCTTCCTAATTGAGTTGCACCCCAGCTTTTGCAGCCTCAGCCTCAATTCATCGGCTCATGGACTCTACAAGGTGTCGAAAGCGTTCCACAGGGATTCTAGCCCATGTTGACTCCAATGCTTCCCACAGTTGTGTCAAGTTGGCTGGATGTCCTTTGGGTGGTGGACCATTCTTGATGCACATGGGAAATTGTTGAGCGTGAAAAACCCAGCAGTGTTGCATTTCAATATTTTATCTTGCCCATTCACCCTCCATGACTCAATTGTCTCAAGGCTGTCTCCTCCCCTTCACCTACACAGATTGAGGTGGATTTAACAAGTGACATCAATAAGGGATTATAGCTTTCACCTGGATTCACGTGGTCAGTCTATGTCATGGAAAGAGCAGGTGTCCTTAATGCTTTGTACACTCAGCATAATTTTTTTTTTATGTTTCAAGAATAATAGGCCGATACTGTATACTCTTCACACTGTAGATACTCCATGTCATGATCTTCTCTTTCAAACATTTACCTTAAAGGGATGACATTTTGGCAATGAAGCCTTTTTTGTTACTTACCCAGAGTCAGATGAACTTTAATATTAATATATAATATGCCATTTAGCAGACGCTTTTATCCAAAGCGACTTACAGTCATGCGTGCATACATTTTTGAGTATGGGTGGTCCCGGGGATCGAACCCACTATCTTGGCGTTACAAGCGCCGTGCTCTACCAGCTGAGCTACAGAGGACCACATGGATACCATTTCTGTGTGCAGTTTGAAGGGAGTTGAATGGAGTTTCTGGATCCATTGCTAACTAGCGTTATGACTGGAAGTCTACAGGAGCAGCTAACATGGGTCCAAGTACATCCCATGTTCAAATATATTTTCTATCATCCACACACATTCATTTTCATACTAAATCTATTATTTTTTGCTGTTGATGCCTGTCATTAATGCCACATTCACAAGCTAGTCGGAACTAGGAAACTCGGACATTTCCGACTTGCTAAATGGTTGAACGCGGCACGTGTATAACTACAACCAGGTAGCAAGTCTGAAATGTCAGTTTCCTAGTTCCGACTAGCACGTGAATGCTGCATGATACCCATCTCTGCTGCTTTTGTTGTTCATATCTTCAGTCTTTTCACTTACATAACTATGGATTAAGATGCCTTATTGCATTACATTTAATTCAATGTAATAATCATGAATTCACTTTTACTGAATTAAGAGTGTGTACAGACAATGTGAAGTAAACAAATTACCTCAATATCTTGACTTTCACGTAGTGAATCAGTCTTGCCATTCTCCTCAAAGTCCCAAGTACACTAAACAAAGATGATATGTAATCAGTGGCGGTGGGTGCCGTTTAAGATTAGGGAGGACCTTTTTTTAAATGAGCATGGCCTTATATATATGTATTACAGCATATTGAATGATTGTCATGCATATTCCATTCACCCAGCAAAAAGTTCAGTTTTGCAACTAAAACAAGAGTTTCTGTTGGACAAAATCAGGTAGGTCCATCCCTGTTTTGTTCCGTTTAAGAAATGTTTTGCAGCAGAATCGGCAGAATGACTACACCGTTGATCACCCTCACACACAGTTCACCTTCATAGCAGCCACATACAGCATCATCACGTTGCTCATTGTATAATTCCTTCCTGCATCTACATGCTCTCCTCCTCTCACCGTTTCCCTTCGCTTGTGGACTTCAGCGCAAAACACAACAGCTGTCTGTGACCAGGAGAAAAAACCTCTCCAAGCCAAACCTTCATACCATAACCACTACACAGCCTATATCATTGTCATCATATTAGCTAACGTCATAGTCAACATAGCTACTAGAACTAATGTGTTAGTCAACCCACAATCCAATCCTTGTGTACAATGTACAGCAAGCAGCTTAGCAGTTACACCAGCGGGCCCCAGTGGCAATAAATTAATCAAACCAAAAGCTTACCTTGACTTGGAAGAGTTGCGGTGTTGGATAGCCGTAGCCAGCTAGCTAACATAAATAGCTAGCATTCCTCTCTTTGAGTCAGGTTGTTGAGGAGGATAAATTAGCTGCATTAGCTGGCTATGTAAGTGAAAGGTAAACTAAGAAGAAAAAATACAAGTAAATATAGCTCTCTCTCTCTCTGCTGCTTCTCCTACATTTCTTGAATAAATTATTTTGTTCAAAACTGTTCAACTATTGTCTTTCTCTCGGAGTCAACTACTCAGCACACGTTATGCACTGCAGTGCTAGCTAGCTTATGCTTTCAGTACTAGATTCATTCTCTGATTCTTTGATTGGACAACATGTCAGTTAATGCTGCGAAAGCTCTGGCAGGTTGGAGGACGTCCTCCGGAAGTCGTCATAATTACTGTGTAAGTCTATGGAAGGGGGTGAGAACCATGAGCCTCCTAGGTTTTGTATTGAACTCAATGTACCCAGAGGAGGACGAAAAATAGCTGTCCTCCGAGTACACCATGGTGCTACCCTACAGAGTGCTGCTGAGGCTACTGTAGACCTTCATTGCAAAACAGTGTGTTTTAATCAGTTATTTGGTGACATGTGAAGTGTTTCGTATAGTTTTATCTAAAAATAAAAACGTTAAATGTTTCACTATTTTTATTTTTATGAAATTCACTGAGTAGGATGGTCCTCCCCTTCCTCCTCTGAGGAGCCGCCACTGTATGTAATACAATTTCCCAACATAGTTGTCACAACAAATGTGAGACAATTAAACATATTAATGATTTTCAATGTAATACAAAGCAACATGTCTTATTACCGACGGGGTCTGTTGAGATTTATGCAGTCAACATCGAATGGCTCTGCAAAGACATTGAATTAGAACTTTAGAAATACACAAACATTAATTATTTCCACTCAAAGTAAAATATATTAAAGCTATAGTGCTCTTCGCTCTAAAGGCATATCACGGTTTTCTTAAACCCTTGTATGGTTAACCGATCACCTCTCAACCTAAGACGAGTCAACAGGTGCCTTCAGATGAGAGCAAGAGATTTCCTGTGATTTGGCCCAAAACTTCTCTTACAGTAACTTACTAAACTCCTCTTCTTCAGGAGGGGTATTGAGGTACGCTTTCTCCACAGCCAGCAGCTCCTCCTCTGACTGACAAATTGCATAGCACTCCAGCAGAGTCTTGTTCAGATCCAGAAACATTGTCCCCCACTTAAACTTCCTCAGCAGAATCACGGCCATGTCCCGAAAGCCTGCATTTCAGACATGCTAATTCCTGATTGATCATAACGCTGCCAACATTTACCACTACTAAGGTAATCTGATGGTAAAACAATTCATTTGTATAGATGAGCATCTTTGCGTAAAATCTTCTATCCAGGTAAATGTAATGGTTCATGCGATACGATACCACAGGTTTTGAATTAACTGCAGAATAGCTCAAGCCTTACCTACAATGCAGAATGTGCAGCAAAAGCCTCCACACAAGACAGCTTTCAGGGCTTGCCGTAGTTCACTAGGTTGGCTGCAACTGAGGATGATTACCTATCATCTTGATGAAGGGCGTCTCCTTGAGTTTAGCCCAAGCGCAGTCAATGACAGCCAGTCGATTCTGAGCTACAATGTCCCTGAAAAATACACAAAAGCACAGGACTCTGACTTCAACATTAAACACTTACATATGTGACCAACCGGCTCAATTTGGTCTTATGTAGCAACATTTGAAATAGTTTTTTTTACAGTGTATAAAAGTAGAGACTCAGAAAATGGTACACTACAGTTGAGGAACAATGGGAACGTAATTCTGCTTTGAAAGTTGATAAACTAGTAACCCCACTTTTAAGAAAATGGCTTTTGAATGTTTTGATACACCGACTGGAAAGCTCTTCTTTGTCTACACCCATTCAACATTGTTCACACCCTCTTAAGCCTTAGCCCCATCCATCTCTTTAAGGATTCACATGTGAGGCTATGTGCTAAACAGAGTGAGTACAGCAGTGTACTAAACAACCAAAGATTTCAAGACTAATGGCTGGTTTATACTACATCTATTGACATGTCTGTATACAGTTGTCGCAGTGACTTCATTAACATTCTATTGTCGTCCGATATCAAACTTGTCGTTGTCATTATGAAAAAGTATAAACACAAAAACGACAGGCTGCATGACATAAGCAGCCTGGTGGTCCAAAATAGTATAACTGGGGTATTTCAACACCAATAACCCCATCCGTTTAAAAATGAATTTAGTATATGTCAATCTAGCAAACCAGGTAACTAAAAGCAACTTTCTAAACAATGTTTTGGTTCATTTCGAGCTTGTTAGCTAGCTAGCTAACTTTAAGTTAGCTGGCTAGCCAAATCAAATAATGACCATATCATATAGCTGACAACATCTTAACTTTAGCTAATTTGTATTAATTTGTATTAATTTGTATTAACAGAACAAGATCATTATTTACAAGTTATTGGCGAGCTAATTACAGAAAATAGCTTACGGTTGTGAGTGTGACAAAATAAAAGCAGGGCATTCGACCTGAGAATTTTAGAACATGGACACTGTCTCGTTGGCCTAACGTTATATCCTAATTTGACTCTGGTGCAGGTCATGTTGTTCTTCACATTACCGTCTCTGGTAAACACACACTATATCAAATAAAATCAAAGTTTATTTGTCACATGCAAAGGCTTTTGACATTATCGATCATAGTCTGCTGCTGGAAAAATGTATGTGTTATGTGTCTTTACTAACGACATGCCACTGGCTTTGAGTAAAGCCAGTGTGTCTATGTATGCGGATGACTCAACACTATACATGTCAGCTACTACAGTGACTGAAATGACTGCAACACTTAACAAAGAGCTGCAGTTAGTTTCAGAGTGGGTGGCAAGAAATAAGTTAGTCCTAAGATATTTCTAAAACTAAAAGCATTGAATTTGGGACAAATCATTCACTAAACCCAAACCTCAACTTAATCTTGTAATAAATAATGTGGAAATTGAGCAAGTTGCGTGCATCATTTTTGTAGGTAAAAGTAGGCATTTATTAAAACTGAATTTGACATGAGAATGTGCTTATTCTATCGCAAACTTTAGACCATGCGTACGTACAGTTTCTACTGGTTGAAGTATTGCATTGCAAGAATGCAAAAGTAGCTTAGTAGCCTTGTGCAAATGGGGAACAAGTAGCAAGTGAGAAGAGCAAAATCATTTTTTAAAATCGTTGCATTCTAAAATAATTATACATCTTTTTCCGATTATTTATTTAATTTCCCTGATCATTGCAGAATAAATTCCTCCCCTTTTCTGAATGTGATGGTTTCATACTCGCGAAATAGCCTGTAGGCCTACAAGTTAGGATGAATCGGATGAATGGTAGCCTATCTATCATTTAATTGAACCCACTTCACAGTAGTAAATAGATAAGCTATTTAAAGTATTTTGCACTATGCGATCCGATCCAAGTGCAGTTTAACAATAGAACAGACGGTTCACCTTTGCCATTGACATTTGTAGGCTACGTCTGAATAATGTAATGTCAAATGTTGTGGAAATTCACCACTAAGGACTCGAACTCAATGTAAATTAATCAATCTTAATTATCACGGTCGGAGAGGTTCACAAATTCAATCCAAGCTTGATGAAAACTCTGAAAAGGGCATTCTCTTTCAGTCCTAATATACTGCTACACATACAAGTCATATAAGCATGATTTACATTATTAATTATTAACGTTGGTTCCTGCATGTGACTGACGAGGCTTCTTCTCTCAAAGCTGAGACCTTGAAACTAAGATACTCCTTTTGATTCCCAGAGTAATGTTCTAGGCATACTGCCAAATTGCTTATACAGTGATAGTGAGGATTCCTCCCGTGCACAATCAATCAGTCACTTGCATGAACCCAACCGAGTTGGTTATTAGAAAAGCAGCATTTATGCTAAACATACGATCTGTGTACGATCTGATACACACAAACATAACATTTCCTTCACACAAATTTATTCAGTAGACAATATTTCATTTATAAACATAATACATACAGTGGGGAGAACAATCGATCCCATCATTTCCAATCTACAATGTTTGTTTGGTTACGGTAATTTCTGTTAATGCATTCAATATATTATTATTACAGTCTTACAGTTGTCATTGTAGGAGTGGACACATTGTTTAAGCCTTACCTATGCTACACTTTTTGGTTTATTTCATTCCATTTATGAGTTGTCAATTTATTCATTGTCTTTTGTTTGGAGCGCTGCTGTCAATCTTGAGTAAGGACAAGCACCTGATTACGCATATACAGTGGGGAGAACAAGTATTTGATACACTGCCGATTTTGCAGGTTTTCATACTTACAAAGCATGTAGAGGTCTGTAATTTTTTATTATAGGTACACTTCAACTGTGAGAGATGGAATCTAAAACAAAAATCCAGAAAATCACATTGTATGATTTTTAAATAATTAATTTGCATTTTATTGCATTACATAAGTATTTGATCACCTACCAACCAGTAAGAATTCCGTCTCTCACAGACCTGTTAGTTTTTCTTTAAGAAGCCCTCCTGTTCTCCACTCATTACCTGTATTAACTGCACCTGTTTGAACTCGTTACCTGTATAAAAGACACCTGTCCACACACTCAATCAAACAGACTCCAACCTCTCCACAATGGCCAAGACCAGAGAGGTGTGTAATGATATCAGGGATACAATTGTAGACCTGCACAAGGCTGGGATGGGCTACAGGATAATAGGCAAGCAGCTTGGTGAGAAGGCAACAACTGTTGGCGCAATTATTAGAAAACGGAAGAAGTTCAAGATGACGGTCAATCACCCTCGGTCTGGGGCTCCATGCAAGATCTCACCTCGTGGGGCATCAATGATCATGAGGAAGGTGAGGGATCAGCCCAGAACTACACAGCAGGACCTGGTCAATGACCTGAAGAGAGCTGGGACCACAGTCTCAAAGAAAACCATTAGTAACACACTACGCCATCATGGATTATAATCCTGCAGCGCACGCAAGGTCCCTCTGCTCAAGCCAGCGCATGTCCAGGCCCGTCTGAAGTTTGCCAATGACCATCTGGATGATCCAGAGGAGGAATGGGAGAAGGTCATGTGGTCTGATGAGACAAAAATATAGCTTTTTGGTCTAAACTCCACTCGCCTTGTTTGGAGGAAGAAGAAGGATGAGTACAACCCCAAGAACACCATCCCAACCGTGAAGCATGGAGGTGGAAACATCATTCTTTGGGGATGCTTTTCTGCAAAGGGGACAGGACGACTGAACCGTATTGAGTGGAGGATGGATGGGGCCATGTATCGCGAGATCTTTGCCAACAACCTCCTTCCCTCAGTAAGACCATTGAAGATGGGTCGTGGCTGGGTCTTCCAGCATGACAACGACCCGAAACACACAGCCAGGGCAACTAAGGAGTGGCTCTGTAAGAGGCATCTCAAGGTCCTGGAGTGGCCTAGCCAGTCTCCAGACCTGAACCCAATAGAAAATCTTTGGAGGGAGCTGAAAGTCCGTATTGCCCAGCGACAGCCCCGAAAACTTAAGGATCTGGAGAAGGTCTGTATGGAGGAGTGGGCCAAAATCCCTGCTGCAGTGTGTGCAAACCTGGTCAAGACCTACAGGAAACGTATGATCTCTGTAATTGCAAACAAAGGTTTCTGTACCAAATATTAAGTTCTGCTTTTCTGATGTATCAAATACTTATGTCATGCAATAAAATGCAAATTAATTACTTAAAAATCATACAATGTGATTTTCTGGATTTTTGTTTTAGATTCCCTTCCTCTCACAGTGAAGTTACCATGATAAACATTACAGACTCTACATGCTTTGTAAGTAGGAAACCGCAAAATCGGCAGTGTATCAAATACTTGTTCTCCCCACTGTAATATAGCATAACCATTGCACCTTTTCTGGCCATGATGAGTTCATATTCCCGAAGTAGCCAAAAAACAAATTACCATGCGCTCTCATTTAATTGGGCCTATTAGATAGGCTATTATAATTTCAAGTTTTTGCTCTATGCATCCAAAAGGGAGCGTGGTTTATAACATACAGTAGAATTTAACAGGTGAACAGACAGTTTATATTTTGCATTGACGTGTGTAGGCTACCACTGTAAGTAGTCCTACTGTAGTTGTAATTTTTTTCAGAGAAGACAATGTTTTAGAATTTGCGGAAAGTGCAGCATATTTAGGTTCGGAAAGTAAATGCAAAACATGG